ATACATAACATGGTTATTTTTCTTGTTAGGACTTTTTATTCCTATGGCAAAAGAGATTCAAGTTATTTAGCAATTATAAACATTGAGAACATGAGGAGACTTGGAGCAAGTGGCAAAATTTGTTTAAGCAAAAATAAGAATGCTAGTTGCTGGAGTTTTGATTCCTAAAGAAAAACAATGCCTGCTAGAGAAGAGGTAAGACTTCACCAAGAGGGATTCAGCCACAGAATTAATTATAGGTACCTCTTCCTACTAACACCTAATGTGTGTTTTATCCAACCTTGTCTTTCTTTCTTCCACACTCACCTTGAGGTTACTAATGTGTTTGAAAACAAAAGGATTATTGATGTTGATCTGTTTGCGAATTTTGTCATTCATTGCATTTACATATGTCTGGTACACTGCCATACACTTCTTGGCCAAAGATGACGCATAGTATATCGGAATGTCATGTAGTTCTGGGTGATTCTGCCAATATTCGTCTAGAGAGATTTTATGAGAAACAAACATCTGTTTTCTATGAGTTCAAATAATAAAGAAACACATGACAACCAAGAAATAAAGTGTATAACTAAATTTTTAAAGAGTTTAAGAAAAATTAGCCTGGTCCTTACTAACTTGAACTTGCAAACCCAAAACTTATTTCCAAATGCCAGTGTACAATCCAAGAAAAATGCCGTGAGCACAGTCCAAAGATGTGAAGGCTTTTTAAAAATTATTCAGTATAAGTTTATACTGAATAACAGACCATAACTTATCACCCCAGAGACACTAAATTCTGTGATGGTTTTAAATCATAATGTATTATTAATATTTCAACGAATCTATCAACTGGTAATTACAAAACAGGACTGCCAAAGAGTTAAACCAATTTTGAACACACACACACACACACACACAAAAACGTACAGTCATATCACTCTATTATTATATATATTTTTTTGAGACAGGGTCTTGCTCTGTCACTCAGGCTGGAGTACAGTGGCACGATTATAGCTCACTGTATCCCTGATCTTCCGGGCTCCAGTGATCCTCCCAGCTCAGCTTCCCAAGTAGCTAGGACTAAAAGCACACGCCACCATACCTGGCTAATTTTTTAATTTTTTTGAAGAGGCAGGGTCTTGCTATGTTGCCCAGGCTGGTCTCAAACTCCTGGCTTC